AACTGGATCATAAATGAGGCCGCCATAACAGTAACAGCTCAACCAGTCTTATCCAAGATCGCATTATTAATCATATCTACAATCGTATGATTAATATGAGTGGTTCTCGCTCATTATCGATTTTATCCAATATTGTTAATGATATAAGAATTTATTTCAGATTTCATCAAAATCGGATTAGAAATATGGCCTCGTGAGAGGTAATATGGTTAGCCAATAACCAGCTAGAATACTGCATTAATATATGCGGATATTGCACATTATTGAAACCGTCCAGGATCTTCATGACGTAAGCATTTATTTTATATTTGATCAAACTCGGGTCAGAAATATGAACTTCAGACTGGCAACAAGATCAGCATAACATAGTAAGATCGCCTCTTTTTTAAAATCCATGGCTACCACTTGTTATCTGACTCTTCGATCAATAATGAATGCAACCATTTGAATTATGTCACGTATTAAAGAGATGTCTTCTAAGTATAAGCGATAACAGAAAAGTAAGTGATGTTATTAACTGAATGTATATTATGCCTAAAATGTTAGATTTCTCAATGTAGTTTAAAAATGATTCACATAGTTCGTCTCTTTGTAAAAACGAAATAAAAATTACATTTTCCGTCAGAAAAGTATTATATTACACAAATTGTGCATGGAAAAATTCTGAACCACATCGTAAATGCATAACGTGACAACCAAGGGAACCTAATATTGCCAAAATGAGAACTTGATGTTAAGAGATTATGAATGAAAATTCACCCATGTTCCAAACTATTGGGAAAGCACGAATGCTTCGATCACATAGTTGCTACATTATGTATCAATGTTGGTGTACCGCTTCGGTGCCCCAGTAGTTAGAGCGTCCACCGCGGATGAGGGAGATTGTGGGTTCAATCCCCAGTCGAGTCATACCAAAGACTTACAAAGATGGTACTAACAGCTACCTTGTTTGACGCTCAACATTAAGAGATTAGTGTTAGGTCTGGTCGGCCTGGTGTCAGGATAATGTGAATGGTTGGGACATCATGCTATATGTCTGCGGTATGCGGTACCATAAGGTGTGCTTTTTTGCAAATTAGACTTTCTATTCAACCTTAACAAAACATATTCAGAGAAAGGAGGAGAACTCATTAGATGTACATAATATATCCAGGGTAAAGACAACTCGCTACTAGACCGTGAATATTACCTCAGTGGTGAGTAAAATTCGGACCGAGATCCGGATCCGGTCTGTGACCTGGTTTCATCCATTAATTTACATCAGACAGTGTTGCTAAAGGAAGTTGCCCCTGCCTGCTCTACGCATCGGTAGCTGATATCGTAATATCCTGTTCCCTCCTTTCTATTTCAGTGTATAAAAGCTATGAAGAGAATCAATGACTAATCCACTGAATCATCGGTCAATTATCCCTTATTAGTCAAGAGTATAAGTTAAACTTTTACTCATGTAGTCACGTTATAACTGAACCATTCATATATTGGTTACATTTATACACGGTTCGGGGTCAACTTTCTACGCACATTGGAAAAAAGTTTGATCATTCTCCTACATTTATATACTATTCATGGCTAACTTTCTAAGCACATTAGAAAAATATTGATCTTTCGTAAGCTTATATAGTACTCGGGAAGAACTTTCTAAGCACATTTTTAGAAAGGTTCATCTTTCCAACAGTTCAATGCAACTTTGGGCCAACTTTCGATGCACATCGGGGATAAAAAAAAAAATCTTAGAATTTTCACTTGTTACGTATAAAATCTGTCACGTGATTAAAAATGGTATTGTTATAAAGTCGACTTTACATCCGAGTAATTTTTTATTTTTATTATCTTGTTGTTTCTAATAGCATAATTGGGTCTATGAAACTGACTACCATGCGACGAAAATTAACGCTAGCTAGCTAGCTAGCTAGCTAGCTAGATAGATAGATAGATAGATAGATAGATAGATAGATAGATAGATAGATAGATAGATAGATAGATAGATACTCAGTCAGTCAGACAGACAGATAGATATATAAGCAGACAGGCAGACAGACGGATCTGTCCACTTTTTATTATATAGCCTCTTTCGACTAATCCTGCGAAAAGCAATGTACAGGCGCGATTAATGATGAGAGAAAGGTGTGTGTGTGTATATATATATATATATATATATATATATATATATATATATATATATATATATATATATATATATATATATAGGGGTAAAGACTGTATTTTGATGACTTTTATTCGAACGTGATTCATTTTTAAAACCTCGTTTTTATTTAGCACAACCAGTATAAATTACATTGTTTTCAACTTAATATTATCAAACAAAAAATGCAGTCCCCCTAACACAACTTTCCCCTTTGTGGTAGTACAGAGAACATTTCTGTAAGAACAATCAAGGCGGATGACGTCATACTTTAGAGCTCCATGTGGCTAAGCAATCTTTAGAAATGAAGTTACATTATTTGGGGGTGGGGGTGTTTCCATACATCACAACTAATGTTACAGAGGGAACTGGTTTATGTGATATCTACTATTGCATGTTCTTAGATAATGCAATTTTCCTACTCAAATTCTGATATTAGGTTTATCTTAAAGATATTGAAGGAAGGAATTCGTTCTTTTGGGTTAAATATATTGATGTAATTTGAGAACTGGACGGCCTGCCAGTGTTCCTGAAAGTTCGTTAATATTAATAGAGAAGCAGAATAAACTCCTTGCTATTATTATCATGCGAGTGCAAAACATGTTTCTGATTTTTTTTTATATAATGAAAAGAATAGGCTAAATTCAGCATAATATTTTCTATTATTATTTCTGCAGAATTAACATTTTGCTATTACCGTTTGACTAATAAAGAGAAGAATTGATCCTTTGCACGCACACATACATACATACATACATACATACATACATACATACATACATACATACATACATACATACATACATACATACATACATACATACATACATACATACATACATACATACATACATACATACATACATACATACACATACACACATACACATATACACACAGACAGACAGACAGACAGACAGAAATACATACATATATGAGGTCGGTTGATACATACATACATACATACATACATACATACATACATACATACATACATACATACATACATACATACATACATACATACATACATACATACATACATACATACATACATACATACATACATAAGATGATACGAGAGAAATGACAGGATTTAACACTTAAATCGTCAAACCTTTGTGAGTCACTCAACTCAGCTGGATATTATCTCTACGTCCGCCGCTATTGCTCTTTGATTCTGAAAAGATTTCAGCATCACGACTATAACCACGGCTGATGCACATGACCTCTGAAATGGAGGAATGTAATAATCATAACAATAACGAGACAGTTTAACATCATGATCCATGTTATCTAAAGCCAAACTGTCGATTTATGCCCGTTAATCTTTTGTCTCCTATACTTGAAAACATATATATGGCGTGATTGCATTCAGGCATTCGGGGGAAAATGTTTATGGAAAGTAACGACTTTTTTGTTTATAAACATCATCTTCCTAAAAGCCGGTAATATATTTTTTTTTTACATAGCGCTGATTTATTATGAGTAACGCAAAATGGAATCGTGGAAGTAAACGGGATACGCTGCAGCTTTCGATCTTCACTTATCTAAAAGGTGATTATTAATTTAAAACTTTTTAAACTTGTCACAAGTTAGGTATAATAAATATGTATACAAGAAACACCAAAATAAACCATTAATACTTCGTACAGCAAAATATCAATGGCGACGTTCGAGCCATGCTATATTTTAATCGCGGTGACGTGGAACTCTTGGCGAAAATAGTCCAGACGATTGTTTAATGGACTGAATTTTGTTCCCATAGGATGAGGAGCTACTAGAATCTTTCATATGCATCGGTGTCTGAGGGAAATTCCATCGTAAGGTCAGAATTACGCGTCAGATTCGTGACTTTGCAGATTCTCTGACGCATAATTCTGATCTCCGGGGTATAATTTTACTATAAACACCGATGCATAATTAGGTATCTTTTCTCAAGTTCCTGAATGAAATACAAACAAAAACGGTTTGTTGTGAATATTAATGCGAAATTTATATTTTTAGTCTATTGTTCAAGCATCTGTTAAAAAAAAAAATTCCTATGATATTGACACTAGGACTTCTACTTTGGCCACAAATTATGCGATTATTTTACAATGGCACTTTTACGGTTTTGACAAAATGCGAACATCAGTTTGGAGGACAAAATATCGATCTTCGCTGCGCATAACTAAATCTAAACTTCTCTTACTGGCATTGATGCGACTAGTGCTCATTGCACGTTTACACTTCACAGCGTTGCACAAGAAATTTATAAAATTATTTTCTAAAAAACATTGATATAATTTAGTTATTAAGGTTTGAATAAATGTTTGTCGGTTTATAATGCATACTGTATTAACTTAACTATGAAATTAGACTGTCATGATTCATTGAGATTAATTATATAATTTTGGCAACTAGTGCGTATACTGTCTGAGAAATATAATTATGAAATATTACTTTTAATTAAAGCTGAATATTTAGAGCTATATGATTGTTTTACTCTTCTCTTAAAATAATTATGCTCTCGACGGTTACAAATCACCTTTGGTAAGCAACCCTATGTATAGTGAAGATCAAATTAATTCCTGTGTTGTGCAAACAACAGTGTGCCAGGTGTGTGTGTGTGTGTGTGTGTGTGTGTGTGCGTGTGTGTGATTTGGATTTTTAACGTAGCATTAACAATTTTTCAGTCATCTCGCTACGATGTCTACAGTTTGGCAGTTTATAGTGATGTCTAGCCGCAGACATGTACCATGATGTCCCACCCAATCACATTAACACGACACCAGGCCGACCAGTCCTAACGCTAACCTCTCAATGCTGAGTGCCAAGCGAGGCAGCTGTTAGTACCAATCTTAAAAGTCTTTAGTGTTACACGGCCAGGGTTTGAACCAGCAACCTCCCGAATCCGAGGCGGAAACTCTAACCACTAAACCACCGGAGCGATCTTCAATGAATGTCATGCAAAATATATAAAAAGTATTAAAATAATTACCAGCACTTTTTAAAATTACCTTTCAAGTCCAGGAAGCGAAAATGACCAAGCGGAACTAGCAGTTTTTAAAAGGTGCACATTTGAAATAAGGTCAAGCTGTATACTTTATAACCTAAATAATAGCCATTAACCATACAGGAATTAAACGTTCTTTAAACGTACCTAATATATATATATATATATATATATATATATATATATATATATATATATATATATATATATATATATATATATATATTTATATATAAAGTCATTCTAAAAAGACGTAACAACCAGCGAGGAAACTCCATGAAATTCTTTTTTTTGCTGACAAGTTTACCAAAATTAAAAAAAGAAACTATAGCGTCACCTAAGTAACAATTAGGATCTTGCAGTGCAAGGCAAAGTTTATCATATTATTATTCATTTAAAATCCTCTATCATGAACAGTTGTCCTCTCTTATTTGATCTAAATGTAGATTTAGACTTTATTGACCACGCCAACAATGCTTCGCAAATAGTTTACAGTCTGCTTCCCGTAAAATATAATGTTTGCTCTTTGCAAACACAAACGCTGCATAATTTCTACATTGCAGCATGAAATGTATTGATTTTATTAAAATTTATTTTAAATGGCGGTTTTTGCTTCACATAAATCGTTAAACAGAATCTTACACAAGACGATATAACGTTATATGTTGAAACGGTCGCGAAGGAGTGGAAATGTTTCAACAACGCCTGGAGATGGACGTCAGTTTGTTCGTTTGACTTAGAATTTATTCACTGAATTAAATTATGGTAGCTTTCTTGCTCAGTCATACTAAACACCTCCTTATATCTTTCAACAGAGTAAATAATATTTTTCAGACTGTATGGTTGGTAACAATAATATTTTCTCAAAATATTCAGCAGGTATCAGGGATTAAAATACATTCATCAATGATTTTTCCCCTTAGAAAATTTATGAGGGTTTCCTATAGACTGTTTTTAAATAAACATTTTAAAAAGATTTCGACACGTTACATTTTAAAACTAAACAGTGATTAACATCATTTCCAGTGTCTCTGTCTCCGACAAAAAAACAGATATTGTCTAAATTTTTATACGTAACATAAAGTTAATGATCAATTTGAGTGATAAGGGTCAATTTGAGCGTTAATGGTCATTTTGAGGAGAGAGTTTTGTGAATTTGAGTGAAATTTTACCTGGCGATTGACAGAAAATATTACGATTGAAAAGCATTAATATAAAATTATGCTGAACAAAATAAAAACGATGTTAGACAACGCTGTTAGACAAACCTGGTGTATTGCCTTGCATATCCATTGCCATGTTCATCAAAGCTTACGTACAAGTTTCGACTCTCCATTTTAAAACATGCTTAACGTGTGTAGATATGAAAGTGACGTACAATTGTACAGATAATATAAACTAATTGCTACGCCTTGTTATGACACACGATGCTGAAAGCATACAGATAAGAATTAAATTTTCCAAATTGTAAATAACAGTATGAAGGTAAGTTCAAGTTCCGTTCGTATTTTTTTAAAATTATATCTCAATACTGAAGGCGTTTCGGGTAATAACTACTCGTTCAGCGCAAAGACATTGAAATGAGCCATTATACTCAACATCGGACTGCAACTAGCTGTAACCTTCTAAACACTGACAGACTTTTGTACTGCAGAGTAAAAACATTACGTCATCTAATGACAAAATATACTCCACACTTTCTTGTTTCGGAGGCTTGGTAATACATGAACTCGTATTTTATGACCATGAGAATACCAGTCTCCAAGTATGCAAATCTTATCACATGACTCGATTTTTTTTTGCATGGATGATGTAATTACCACACACACACACACACATATATATATATATATATATATATATATATATATATATATATATATATATATATATATATATATATATATATATATATACACACACTAAAATGGAAAATTACTTCTCTCTTTCGAATTTGTGTTTTTGTTAAAGATTATCTACCAAGATGTAATAAATATGCACATAGCAACACTGGTTTATATAAAGTATCTTTAGACCTAAATACTTCCAAAATAAAGTAACACATTTGAATCCAAAATTATAATATTACTGAGTTACTTATACCGACAATAGTCGTTCCCTCGATTAATAAAATTGAAATAATCCAGAAGTAGAATTTCTAGATCATAATTGTTAAGTAAGGCAGTTACAATAAAGTTAATTTCCATACAATTATATTTTTTAAATGTAAGAGAATCAATAGAGCTAATTGAATATATGTTACTCTGAGAAGATAATCAGTACGCATGCGTCAAAATTTAAAACTGACAATATTAGGAATAATGATTTTGAGTAAAGAGCCTTTCTATAGATCATTAAGTTTTGTACATGTTGGATATACCAATAGCATTATGAGAATTCGTATAATATTTTTAATTTAAACAAATGAGTAGTATCTTTCATATTATACAGATGAATACTGTATTTTGTATAAATTTAAAACATCGTTGATACCAATGTCACCTTTAGGTATTTTTTTATTATATTTCATTTAAAAACTAAATTTTAGCAAATATTGTTTACGTTTTTCATGCATCCTTGAAAAAAGCGAGCGCCATTTTCATTGTAAAATATGTATTTTAAATTTTAGACCTTGAAAAAGTAATGGAAATGGTTTTAAAATCTGCCGTTAAACAGTATACAGCCGGTTCTAAGTCGTGGTACTGTCTAAAACTAGAAATATATTTTAAGAATCCCCATATAATAAATATATACATAACTACAGTATTTCTACTGATTGGCATTCAAATGATTTATATCTCTAACCCAATGTAACATCACTTAATATTGCATTTTTATTTAAGCCACTCAAAAACGAAGCAAACTATAAGACAGTCGTTAATAAGTGTTTCACAGTTCATTAATCTAAAAAAATCATTATTTTTAACAGAGAAATGTACTTTCAAATTTAAAAGAAGAAAGATCGAATTTTTGGAAATAATGCGAATCTAAGCATTCATTTCAAATTGAAATTGCACTTCGGAATGCACATAAAACATGAAATAACATTGTGCCCTAAACACTGTGCGGTAGAAATCAATGCCTTTCCTGTAGAATATGATTTCATAAGTTTTTATTCAGCATTATATAATAATAATAATAATAATAATAATAATAATAATAATAATAATAATAATAATAATAATAATAATAATAATCAATAATTATTATTATTGATTATTAAATAAATAATAATAATAATAATAATAATAATAATAATAATAATAATAATAATAATAATAATAATAATAATAAATATTAATAAATAATAATTATTAGTAATTATTAAATAATTAATAATAATAATAATAATAATAATAATAATAATAATAATAATAATAATAATAATAAAAAAATAATAGTTAATTAACTTCGTCCTGAGAGAGTAATAATAACGAAAGAAATAATTGAACATATTGACAGTACAAACGTCTATTTTTATTGCTGTCATTCTTGAAAACAATGAACTTTCGTGGAATGTCTAGTCGGATCAACTTACCAATAATTAATCCTAAAAAAAAAATACCTCATCTCCGGTTTCTTTCTAAATGATGCCTCAGGGGAGATGCAGAGGGATTGTAATCAATTCGATCGATTTTTATTAAACTTCAAGATGATTTATTACCTTTTTCACGTAAATAAGCGTACAAACAGATGATTATTTTTTAAACTTTGGTTTTGTGGATTTAACTCGATTTTCCAAAACATGATAGGCTATCCATAGCGATCAGTATTTTTGGTGGTGAAGGTTCCTGGGAAAACTGCAGGAAGAACCACCGATCCACGGGACGTTACTGGCAAGCTTCCTTGCATACTCGCGTTGGCCGAGCTGAGACTCGAATCCACGTGGACTGAGATGAGATGCGAGTGATTTATATAGACAAGCGCCTTAGAGAATTTGATCACTCTCTGCCAGGGTGTGTGTGTGTGTGTGTGTGTGTGTGTGTGTGTGTGTGTGTGTGTGTGTGTGTGTGTGTGTGTGTGTGTGTGTGTGTGTGTGTGTGTAAGTAGTTGAATCTGGTAAGTTGTTATAAAACTACGTAAACATGAAAACTGAACGAAACTGAACAGTACGCTGTTTAGGCCACATCTGGCATTTGGGCAGAAATGACTTCATACCTTTTCCGGACGTCGACTCTATGTTTATCGATTCTAATATTACACGCATGCGCAATCATGTAGGTCAGCTCAAGGTCGCCATGAACAATTTGTATGTTCGCATAAAAAGTTTATGACTAAGACGAAGAGGTTTGACATTTGTACACCATTTACAGGAATAGTGTTAGCAAATCATCAGAGAATATTTCAATAACATCCGATAATAAATAATTATTTCGGCAAACAATTCCGACGTACGCCAAACCAATTTTCTTTTCTTACATGAAAATAACAGATACATAAGAGCACCTCTAATTTCTGTAAAACAGATTGATTTCTTAAACATTTCTTTAAACATTTTCTGCATAATATTTAACAATTTCAGTTTTTCCTCATAACTGCCAACTCAGAAGAAAAATGCAATTCCTTTAAGAAATCATTGAGACGTTAGAAAATATTCAGAAATAGTCACTGGTAATATGCTTACGTGTGTGGAGTAATGTATGTACGTGTAGGCAGTGATGTTTCATGCCACCTCAGCACAAAAGCGGCTATGCAGTGCCAACAAATGATCGGTTTGAAAAAATGTAAAACTGAAGTAAGCAAAAAACTTTGGGAGAAAAAGCTTTTCAAATAAATGCATAATTAATGAGACGAAGATATAAAACAAAAAATGTAAAATTGTTACAATTCTGTAAAATGTTTACAAAATAACAATTAAAAATGTAACACATGCAAACTCGTAACAACGCGATGTTTGCGGTAGTTTACAAGACTGATTTAAACGCAGAAAAAAA